ACTTATACTTTACATATTTGGGGAGTATTATTCTATTTTTCTGGACCGTGATTAAGGCTCGTTACTACCATCTTCTGGTTATGCTATCTAAGGGATTATTACCACAGTTACGGCTATTTTACGCGTTCTGATTGGCTAGTAGATGGCTTTATCTATAAGATAAATTTATCTAAAAGATGGTAGTAATAGACCTAAGGCTCGTTACTACCATCTTCTGGTTATGCTATCTAAGGGATTATTACCACGGTTACGGCTATTTTACGCACTCTGATTGGCTAGTAGGTGGGTTTATCTATAAGATAAATTTAATTAAAAGATGGTAGTAATGGACCGTAATACGCATTGTTTTCATTATTTTTAGCATCGCTACCAATAAAATAGTTTTTATACAATAGTATCCAACGAGAAATAATATCAATTATTTTAATTAATAGGGGTAGTTTATCTTATATAATCCGGCCTAAGATGTACAATTGATCGAACTTTAATCTGCTTCCTTCTATCACCTCTTCGTGGTTTTATCACTGGTGTAAAAGACAGCCTCTTTGTTTCAGAACGGTTTGCAATTGTGCTCTCAATGTCACCAATATCGACAAAGAGATCGTTACTCCCAAATGTCGTGGGCGTCTCATTTAAGTAAATACATTTCATTTACTTATTTTACTGCATTTTATGATTCTTGCAATTTTTGGAAAAGGGAAAGAAAAATTTACAATTTGATCTAATTCGTAAAGAAATCATTAATACATGTGGCATTTAGCCATAAATATGCCGAAGATCGCCAAAAGCAATGACCTGTGAAATTCACTTAGATTTTACATTTTTAATAAGCAACAGTTTTCAGGAACGGAATGAATTGGAATGCAATGGAACAGATCGGAACGGAATTTCTGAATTTCATTAGCGCGGAATTTCGTGGAATAATTTATACGGACTAACTAAACTAAACTAGATTAAGTTTTGGTGTGTTCCAGACCTATTAGAAGGAATTAAAATTTTTAAATTAAAAGAAATTCTATGATTTGTTGAAAATGTTGGACATTTCGAAAAAAGATATATTATGACGTTTTGGACAGCTATTAGGGTAGAGGAAAAATTGATAACTTTGCAGCAAGAATGTCTTTGTTAAATTTTATTTTACAAATTTGTCGGCATCTGTTGTTACGAAATAGTTAGTTTGTTGATTTTGTATTAGCCGGATTGGTATCGAAATATAATTTTTTCATTGCTTTTAAATCCACTTTTTAGGTTTTTCCTTGTTTTCTAAGAAAATCTGTAATATTTCTGCGCTTTTTCAGATTTTAATTCGGTATTTAAAAGGGGCTTTCTTAACAACTCTTCAAATAGAGGTGTTAATAGTATCTCTGAGCGAGGTGACAAAACTGTGTGTCGTCAAATGCATCTGGAATACCGACAGAACATACATCAACTTCCCCTTAAAAATTATCATTTGGGTCAGTAATTGCATCATTACTCGGTACATCTATGGTTGATTTTGAGGCCTTTCCTTCAGATTTTGAATAAGAAAACGCATTTCATTTCTTACTACGCTTTTTAGCTTTTGCCTTTCTGTAGCAGTCTTTTAAATTATTGCATTTTTTTTACAATCTTCAACTGAAAAAGGCGTAGTAATTAATGTCTTTTTAATGTTTTTGGGACATGTGATTCATTGGTTAGTTACCTACAGTGAGGGGAGTTAAGAGTTTGTAGCATTGTTTATAAAGTTTATGTGGAAATTTTAATCTCCACTCTTTTCTGATGCAATCAGCAACAACAAAACAGTGGCTAAACATAAAAAAAGATTTTTGTACGAAATGAAATTACCCAACCTGTATAGGTGTTTTGGATGATAAATTGTGGCACCACCAATCGTGGTGTTTGTTATCTTACAGTAATAGTGTGGTAACCACGATATGAGTTGATAAAGATGGCGATATTAAAAGTTCTAGGTGTTTGTTTCCCAAACAACTTGAATATTTGTTGATACGGAGTATAACATAATTACGTGTAGCTGCCTACTCAAATGCCAAATGTCCATCATTATTTTGAAGGTATTTATTTTGAATATCAGTATAGTTTGTAAGTCCTTTTTGGGATTTTGCAATAAGTCAACCTGTTCAAAGGCTATATGTATAAAGGCTCCGATATGTGAAGTGAAAGATTGCATGAAACGTCCTTAGAACTTTTATGCAGTTGTGAACCGTTATTGTAGATATTTAAGTTATGTAATGCGTGGTAAAGCTTTTAAGTTTCTTACAATCCTATTTAAGATAATCACTGTTTTGTCTCTACTTATAATAATTACGACACCCTTAAGTCATTACAAAGTCTTTAAATTTTGCTGGAAGTTTCGGATGTCTTACACTTCTCCTTAAACTGGTATTCGGGTCTACATCAGTCTTATCATTTAGGTTACAATTTGGTATTGAGTCGCAATCAGTTAATTCTGTATCACTATCTGGTATTACATTTATTTGTTGTCTGGGTTCATTCAAGGACGGCTTTAAATGGTAGCTATTCCTTTATTAGCGATGGTTACCTTTATCAACAATATATGATCTTGGCGTATCAGCTTTACTTATAACTTTAGCATTAACCCACTGTTTTGTTCCCTCTTCATGTACTACCACATTATCTCCTTCTTTTAAGGCTTTTCTTTCTTTAGTTTTATTGTCGTAATACTGTTTTGCCAAATCCTGTTTTTTAAGAATTTTTTCTTTAATTTTATTATTGTTAACTTTAGGTGTTGTGGATAACGTTAAACTAGGCGACTTAGTTCTGAATTTACGGTTGGTCAAAATCAGAGCAGGTGTTAAACCAATTCCTATTATAGCTGTATTGCGATAATTTAACAAAGTTAATTGTAAATCACAACCCTTTTTTAAAATCGATTTCGCAATTTTGACCGCACTTTCAGCTTGACCATTTGACCTAGGATATCGAGGACTACTTGTCTTTACTTTAAAGCCCCACTCTTCCAAAAACTTTCTAAACTTATACGAACCAAAAGGTATATTGTCAGCTATTAGTTCCAAAGGGATTACGTGCGTGGCAAATACTACTTTAAATTTATCTATTAGCTCAGTGGCTGTTTTGCTGTGTATTGGTAGGATTTCCAACCATTTTGAGAAATAATCAATAATTACCAAATAATCTTTCGCGCCATAACTGCAAATGTCTGCTGCCAATTTAACAAACGGTTTGTTTGGAATTTTATGATTAATTAACGGCTCTTTGATGTTTGCAGGCCTATACCTTCCACAGATATGACATTTTCTGACATAATGTTCAATATCGCTATTTAGTCCCGGCCAGTATACTGAACTTTTTGACTTAGATTTCATCTTGACTATGAAACAGTGATCTTCATGTAGCACATTTAAGATATCATTGCGTAATCTAGTAGGCACAACTACCCTCTCCTTATAAAATAGCAAGTTCTCAACTAAATGCAATTCGTGTCTGATATTAAAGAATGTATTCATATGACCCTGAAATTTTTTCATAGGCTAACCATCCATGTAATACTTTTTTACTGTGGCAAGAATTTGATCAGCATTTGTTTCATTCGTAAACATTTGTTTTTTCTCTGTCATATTTATGTAATTCTTTACACTAATAGTATGAATAACTTCTAACATGTCTGGATCATCATCTACATACACTATCTTTCAAAAAGGCTCTCGACAGAGTATCCGCCACAAACATAAATTTTCCCGGTAAATATTGTACTTTAATATCATATTTAAGAAGTTTGATTTTTAGACGTTGTAGTCTGGGTAATGCAACACTTAAAATACTTTTAGTTATTATTGCTACCAGCGGCTTGTGACCTGTTAACACAGTTACAGTTCTACCATAAACAAAAAGATGAAATTTTTTAAATGCAAAAGCAATCGCAAGGAACTCCTTTTCAATCTGTGCGTAATTCTTTTCTGACTCAGTTAGTGATCTCGATGCAAAACTGACTGGTTTACCCTGCTGAAGCAAGCAACACCCCAACCCGTCCTTACTCGCATCAGAGTGAATTGTAATTTCAAGTGTTTCATCAAAATTTCTCATAACCGGAGCGTCACAGCAAATTTTTTACATTATTCAAACAATTTTCATGACCTCCAGTCCAAACAAATTCAATGTCATTTTTCAGTAATTTCCGAAGCTGAGCTGTGGCTTGTGCAAAATTTGGGACAAAACCTCTAAAGAAATTCAACATACCCAGAATTCTTTGGAGGTCTTTTTTATTCTTGGGCGCCTCTATTAATTTAGTTGCCCTTCCACGCTCTTCGTCAATCGAAATTCCCTTATTTGAGAACAACAAACCCAAGTATTTAACTTCGTTAACCCTAAACTGAACCTTGTTCTTGTTAAACTTTACATTATTGTCCCTGGCCCTTTTTATTACTTCGCCCAGAATTTTATCATGAGTCTCTGAACTGTCAGCAGCTATTAGTAAGTCATCAAAGTAGACAATGACTCCCTCAATATCACTAAATATATTTTGATTTATATTTTGAAAGTACTCCGGTGCCAAACTCAGACCAAACGGTAGCCTTTTAAATTTGTAATGCCCAAACGGCGTACTAAATGAACACAAGTCACTCGACTCATCCTCTAATTCCACATAATAAAATCCATCTTTAAGGTCAAGTACGGTAAAGTACTGTTTGTTTTTTAATTTGTTACTAATTTCATCCATAGTAGGTATAAGACAGTGCTTGCGTTTAATCACCTTATTTAAGTCCCAACCAGAAGGCTCCGTTTTTTCTATTATCCCCTGACTTTCTAATTCACTAAGT